ACTGCCGGCGGCAGCCAGCAAGGAAGAGCTCAAGGAAGGTTGGGCAGGGACGGGTCCGGGGCCGGGGGAGAGACGCTCTGGGGCCGGGGTGGGAGGACACGGGGGGGGGGGTCGAGACCCGTTCCAGCTCCAAATATTGCTGGAGCGTGGGCACCACAAAACTCGCCGCCCACGCCTTTGCTGGCTAGCCGGCTTTCTCTCTCTTTTTTTCAGAGGAGGCAGGGGAGCGCCAACTCCTCGCGGAACCCCTCGTTGTGCTCCGCGGAACCCCAGGGTTCTAGGGTCTAGGGAAAGTAATGGAACTCATTTGATGGGCCTTCATCCGATCCCTGGGTGACATGATCCTCATCCACATTTTCTCCTCATCCACAGTCACACTCTCCAGGAGGCTGATGATGAGTGTCTCCAGCCCAGAACTCACAACAAGGAGGAGACTTCCTCCCTCCCCCTCCCCCAGAATGTGATGGAACTGATTGTAATACTGACAAGAGTGGGATGCTGCCTCTGAGTGGGAACTGTGCTCCTTGGCCTTGGTGTAGGCCTGCCTCAGTTCCGTCACCCTCATGTGCACCTGCTCCTGGGTGCAGCTGTGTCCCTTCTGGTCCAGGCTATTGGCCATCTGGCCGTATATGTCCGTGTTCCTGCGTCTGGAATGGAGATCCTGCAGACCTCTTTCTAGTATCTCTGCACCAGACCAGGATGGGGTGCCCTCCTCTTTTGCTTCTGGACAGGGGGTTGAGAGCTGGCTTGATGGGAGCATGGGGATTACTCCTGGCAGCAGGGAAAGAAGTGCACGGTGCTGCTGCATGGCACAGGGCTTTCCTTGTGCTACATGCCCTTTTTCCCAGAGCCTGCGCCTTTATAGTTCCCCCTTCCCTGCAGGCTTTAGAGTGCTGATGAGTGTGCACATGGTGGACACCAGGGCACCTGTGAGAATCTCTGGAGGCCACTTATTTCAAAATAACCACAGCTGCGCTGTCTACACATACCCTATTTCAAAATAACTATTTCGAAATAGGTGTTATTTCCCATGAAATGAGGGTTACAGATTTTGGATTATTTTGAAATAACGGGCTTGCTGCGTAGACACTCACTTGGTTGTTTTGAAATAACACTGCAGTGTAGACATGCCCCTAGAGATTAAGAATTTAAAAATGGCCATATTGTGTCAGACCAATGGTCCATTTTAGCCCAATACCCTGTCTTCTGACAGTGGCCTGTGACAGGTAATTATCAAGTGATATATCCCCTTTTGTCCAGTCCCAGCATCTAGAAGTCAAGGCTTTATGCATACGAACAGAATAAACTAAGAAGTTATACCATCATTGGAGATTGCATCCTGATTTCTTAAAAACTTAGTTGTATTTGCATAGTATGTTATCTAATGTTTTTCACATAAAAATATCACAAAAGATCTTGTGAAACTTAAACGAAATACCAAGCTATAATGTCTACACCCAGATTTGCTCTCAATTTTATGATTCAGTCACTTTTTCCACCTTCCTTCCTCTCCTTCCCCTTTCTGTTGCTGTGTGAAAGGCCCATACAGAGAGAACTGACTTTACCCCTAACATTGACAGGCCAAAATGTTTAAAGATTGGAGGTCCTTTCATATTCTACATTGTGAATACTTGCAGAAATATCATTGTGATCTATACTAGGGCTGTGATGATTACTGGTTATGGTTAACTGGCAGGGGCTAGAGCAGACCCCACTCATGATGGGCTCAGGCCGGCATGCTATGGACAGGGACACTCTAGCCTATTGGTGGAGAAGGAGGTTGCTCCAGCCCAGTCCCATTTATATAGTTAACTGATTAAACGGGTTTTTACATCCCTAATCTATACTTGGTGCCAACTGTGCTTACAGCTATAAAGCGCTCAAAAAAGAAGAGTTGCTGTACAAAATATGTCATAATCTCTGAGAAAATGAGGGAAAGGTCACCTGGGAATAGAAATACTTTCAATTGTTTTTTTTTTATTCACCTACATTAGGTTTAGTTCCTATTCCTGGTGTTGCAGATGCACCTTTCAGATTGGTTTCTTGGTGAACAAGTGTATACCTAGAGCAGGGGTGTCCAAACTTTTTTCAAAGAGGGCCAGATTTTATGAAGTGAACATGCGTGAGGGCCGACCATTTTGCCTGACATTCTTTGAACCATTAAAATTAAACGCAAATTAACTATTTTATGCAAAGTTTATTGCAAACGGCATACTTTTCATTTCGTCACATGGATGACAAATCTAAACAGGTGTTAAATCACTCTGCCTTTCATATCTGAAGGCCAGATGAAAAAAAAAATCCAGGAAGCTGAAATATATGTCAGGAACATTGTAAAGTACATTACATATTATTGGTAATAAAGGTTGTCTGTCAACTTTTAAGTTCAAAAAATATGAACAGGAACATAACACCAAGTATACATGTTGTGTCCAAATATATTTATAACTGATTTAGACCAACTGACTTTAACTGAGATTTTACAATGTATTCATCTCAATACATATGGATTCATTGGGGGCCATAAAAGATAGATATTGCCAAATTACCCGTGGGGCCGTATTAAACCGAAACATGGGCCGCAGTTGGCCCGCGGGCCGGACTTTGGACATGCCTGACCTAGAGAGAAGTTAATGGGGAATGGATGATATGGACAAGGCAGGAAGATGGGAACAGGGAATGGAGGCAAATAGGGAGTGTCATTAAAGAAAACCTGTAAAGCAAAGGGTTTGAAGCCAACAAAATGAGATCAGAGTTTTTGCTTACAAGGTTCTACACCAGTGTACTCAGCACAAGTTTTCTACAACAGTTGTGCTTTTTCTAGTAACAAATGGCGATTGAGACTATGTTCTTGGAAGATTGATACTTCTCCCTGGGATAGTCTTAACTTTTTAACAAACTGCATCCTACCGCAGCATCCCCTTTTTTATAACTTTTTCCTCCTGTTAGGGATGTAAGTGAACAATCAACTAACTGATAAGCATATGCTTAACAGTTAATCTAGTCTACTACTTGCATTCCCCCCGCCGACGCCTCTGTATCAGCTTAAAAGCTGGTTTCCTCCCAGCAGCATCTCCGCGGAGCCACCTCCCCACCCCTCCAGTGTTGCTGCCTCTAAGGGGAGGCTGCTGCAAGCCAGCTTCTCCCTGCAGCGAACCTTGGCCTGCTGCGGGCAGAGTCTGCTCAAGTAGCAACCCCTGTCTGTGGGGAGCTGGATTCCCCCATGGACAGGGGCTGCTGCCACCCCTCACTGCTGCTTCTGGCCCCACCCATGGGGACTATAGAATAGTCAACTAACCTCTAGAAAGAATTCATGCAGTTAGCCAACTATTCTGTTACCTGCTATCTAACATCCCGTCGTCCTATCACCTTCTACTTCCCTGCCTTTATTCTGTTTTCAGTTATTACTCTGATACTGTCTCATTCTGGTTTCTGTATATCACACTGCAAAGTAAGTGAAACATTCCAATATATTTTAGTTTGTCTTTGTGGCATGTACATATAAAAACACAGAAAGCTTTGCTCCTTTCCTTTTAGTATTTTGCTAGGGCTAGATCATTCTATGTCAGAGAGGTCTGAGACGCTCCCCTGACAGTAGCTCTGAATAAATAAAAGCAGGGCCTATTTAGTTTGAGTAGTTTTTTTTTTAATGTATAAAATCCAGAATACATTTCAATATGTATCTGTGCAAATTTTTCCTATTGTAACCACTCATGCATAAAAGGAAAAATTGGGTGGAGTGGAAAGGTGCAGAATTGTGCACTTGAAGTCCTAAGCAAATTTCTGTCTTATGCCAATATAGTAGCAATGTCATTTAACCAACCTGCTGCATCATATAATGCAAAGTAATTCCAAAACTATCAAACCAAAGTGTCTGCAGTTAACCCATTTATTTAGATAGGTTAATTTTCACATAGAAGTTGGACCATTTTGGCCATAGAATAATCAGATATAACTTTGTCAATACTTTCTGTCTACATATAATATTTTATCACTTTCAAATTATGTATCTCTTATAGTGTACAACTTTATTAAATGACTTTGAATATTTCTCTGTACTAACATCTATAAGGTAGATACTAGAATTCAGAAAACACAGGAGAAGCAGTTCAAACTGTCTTTTGTGAAGGTATAAACATGTCTTTCTCTCTTTTTGCTCTAAGATCTTAGTGGCTCTATAGCATCTCCAGATGTTAAGCTAAATCTTGGAGGAGGAGGAGGAGGAGGAGAGTTCATGAAAGATTCTACTGCAACTACATTCTTGAGACAGAGAGGTTATGGCTGGCTTTTGGAAGTAGAAGATGATGACCCAGAAGATATGTAAAAATTGCTCATTTATTTTTTGGTTAAGAATTTTTGTTTTTTTTCCTGCACATTGGTGAGCTACTAGTATTTTGTTATGATTAGGATTCCACAGTGATAAATGCCTTAACTTTAAGTCTTTTATTGTATTTGTAATATTGTGCATCATTGCCTTCATTCGGGAAAAAGCTAAAACATTTTGCTTGCCTTGGGTTAGGGGAGGGGGGGAAAGGATAACATAAAACTTGAGCGTAGCTGGCCTTGACTCCTAGAGTATCACAAAAAGTTGTTTTCTCATCGCTTCTTTTAAACTTTTGTTCTTTCAAGGATTAACAAAAAAATCAAATCTACAGAGTTAGGGCACCAGAAGGCTTATGTTGACCTATGTCTGGGGTCCCTACATGAGGGGAACAGTATACTTTACTAGGACCCAGCCCAAGCTGCAGATTGTGGTATGTGGTAGAGGTTACAAGTTTGCCTTGGGCCTGGAAAAATTATGCTTGAGCTCTGCCTGTGTCAGTGTCTACACTGTAGCCTTGCTCCAGCTGCTGTAAGAGCCACACTACCTTGTCATATTAACTCCAGTTCCATGAGAGGCAAAGGGCTTATGTTGGTGTAGTGAGAGCAACACTGTGTCCCTGTAGATGCTACCTTACTTACATCAGCTGTTGCCTAAAATTCCTGTCAGTTTCACGGCTTGCTGTTGGAGCTGTGAAATTGACAACAGAGCCTGGTAGCTTCCTTGCTGTGAACCAACCTTGCACCTGGTCTACAAGTTAGGTTGTCATTTGGGGATGGGATCAGGGGATCCATCTAGCACAAGGGCTGGCAGCCTTTTCAAACCAAATAGCCAAACTACATCAAAGTTCAGAATGAGTGGTCAACATAGAGCCATATAAGAATACTCATTTGCATGACTGAAAATATACAACTTAATATTATTGATAATTGACATAATGATTAAAAATAGCATAAATGAAACATTGTAATGGGACTTCTGATGCTGCATCTTTTTGCACATTTTTTGACATTTACATCATAACTGGTCAAATGCACGCATTCAGGTTGTCTTCGGTCAATCTTATGGCAGGGGCTGGGGGTGCAGGAGACTGGGTTGGGTTGTATGAGGGGCTCAGGGCAGGGGGTTTGGGTGTAGGATGGGCACAGAGTTGGGGTGTGTGGAGGTGCAGGAGTGTTATGATGCTGCGGCCAGATAGGAGCTTGGCCCCAATTAGAGACTTGTTGGCCAGGCTTCATTTTAAAATAAAGTAAAATATTATGTCCAACACAAAAGGTTTCAACATTGTCTTTATATATGGTAGGGGTGGGTGTCTGGTCGGGGGGAGGTGCAAGAAAAAGGAAGAGTGCAGGAACAGGTTGGGTGTAATGTGTGTGGCCAAGGGGGAGGGTGCAGGATCAGGCTGGGGACAGGGTGTCTGGGCAGAGGGGAGGGTTGGGAGAAGGAGAGTGTGTCTGTCCAAGGGAAAGGGAGAAAGAGCAGGCTGGAGATGCGGGGTCTTGATGGGGGAGGGGGTGGGTTAGAGGGCTGAGGGTGCAGGGTCTGGCCATGAGGAGCTTGGGGGGCACTTACTTGTTTTTGTGCCACGTGCCGCTCCCAGCAACTGGAGGCTTTCCTGAAAGCCTCCAAGAAGTGCATCCGTGCATTGCTGTTTTCCCAGCAGGGGGAGGGGAATAGTAGCACGCAGCCACTTCTGGCTCAGGCTTCTTCCCTACAAGCTGGATCTGGTAGGGAGCCTTGGGGTTTCCCCCTTCTGTCCCTGCAGGAAGCTGGCGCTGGCACTCCAATCGTGAGGAGCATGCGATGCTGGAATGCCACCGTGGGCTCCCTGCTGCTGGGGGAGGTTGTGGGAGCTGAGCTTGAGATGTCCTTGAGCTGCAGAAGACCATATCTGTCTCCCTGGTGAGCCATATTTGGCTCATGAGCCATTTGTTGCAGACCCCTTATCTAGAGCTCAGCTGCTGTCCTGGCTGCCAGCTTCCAGTAAGCTGTTGCCTTAACTCTCCTCGCCCCTCAGGGTTCCTTACTATCCACTCCCAGAGGGCTGCTATCTGGGCTCCCTAGTCCCAGCCACGCTGCCCAACTGGGCTCCAACTTTGAGCATATCTGCTGGTCACTGAGAGCCTACGCTCCCAGCTACTCAGAATGCTCCCAGAGATGTGGAAGTGCAGCTCCTTTGAGTGGAGACTGTAGCAGTGTGACATTGACATTCTTCACCATTTCATCTTGTGCTGTGAAATGGGCCCACGAGAGGCTCATACTTGGGGCTTTCACCCCAGGGCAGATGAGGAGCTCCAGCTGTCAGCCTCATATAGCTATCCGTGTCCCACACCCAGTTGTCAATCCCCCACTTCAGTCAGTGCAAATACTCTTGGGCTACGTCTATACTGTGCTCTTTTGCGCAAGAAAATATGCAAATGAGGCAAAGCGGTGAATATTGCTGCACCTAATTTGCATACTTAATGAGCCGCCATTTTGCACAAGGGGCTTTTGCACAAAAAGGAGCCATCTGCACAGCTCCTTTTTGTGCAGAAACCTCCTCTTGTGCAAGAGCTGTTCTGCCGCTTTTTTCAGGCAGAACGGCTCTTGCGCAAGAGGGGGGTTTTGCGCAAAATGGCAGCGCATTAAGTATGCAAATGAGGAGTGGCGATATTCACTGCTTCGCCTTATTTGCGTATTTTCTTGCACAAGAGAGTGCAGTATAAATGTAGCCTTGGTGAGGAATCACTGCATCTTCAGGACAAGGGTAGTGTGTACACCCACAGTCAATTGGATTACTGCAGTGGTAGTAGGTTAATCTAAAGTAAGTCAACCGAATTTTGTCGTTTAGATAAGCCCTCGGATTGCATTTCTCTAGCATTGTTAAACAATCGGCAGCACTGACTTTTAGAGAATATCAAGTGAACACTAGCAGTTGCTAGCTAAAATAGAGGTATTCCATGGTTGTCATCACCATAGTCCTGAAGTAAGTGGCGAAAGATTTAGATTTAATTAGGGTTGAACTTCTCTGATATAAATTGACTTTAAATTGGCGTGGGCAATAATTTTGAAAAGGGGGTCATTTCACAAAAGTCTGAAGTGGCCCTGGGGCCAACCTGAAAGGGGTGGGGGTGAGGAGACATGTCTGTTCCCCTGCCCACAGACCTTGATTGGCCTTGGGGGTAGGAGAGCACATGAAGTCTTTTCCCTCCCTCCTCTCCTCCCCCCTCCCCCTCCCAAGAGAATCACCAGCTGTCAGTTCCCTCTAGGTGCCCCAGAGCGAGGAGAACTCATGTAGTCCCTCTGTCTCCAGGCCAATCAGAGTCTGGGGGCAAGGGAAGGCACGAAGTTTCTCACCTTTTGCCCCTGCTCTGCCAGGGGCACGTGATGGCTAGAGAGAACCACCAGCTGTTTTAAAACAGCCAGTATTTCTCTCCAGCCGCCATGCACCTCTTGCAGGAGGAGGAGACTTCGCATGTTCTCCTGTCTCCAGGACTTGATTGGCCTAGGAGTGGAGGAGTGGCAGGGCAGTTTGACAGGCCAGATCTATACCAATGAAAAGTTCTGCAGAAAACACCTGTTCTCTGGTGGCCATCCCTGATTATTTTAAGGCTAATTTATAGCCTTGAAACAGGGGTGGTTGGTGGGAGAGTAGAAGTATCCGCTGATAGAACATATTTTGCGGTCTGAATCAGCCCTTAGTTATTGCTGTGACACATGCTGAGCTATTGACACACTACTCAGTTGAAGCAAATTACACCTTTCCTTCAATTAAAATACCAACAACCTGAAGTTGATGGTCAATTTCTTTTAAACTCTTGGAGGATTAATAGATGCTATACTTTTGTTCCCTGTTGGAAGCATATATTATCTTTAAGATGCACTACAAATAAATGCAATGTGTGTATGTGGTTGTATATTTCCACATGACAATAAACAAACCTTTACAGGTGATTATTGTTTACATGTGCCTGTAGGAGGGAGGACAGAAGCTTTACCTTAATTCAGACTGTAGGGTATTTTATCCTTCTCTTATGTTCCCAACCACAGTATATATTTCAATATAGTTAATGATTAAATTATGTTGTTGAATAAGGTTGTTAGAAATGTAATGGGTTTCTTGGATTATTTAAACCGTAAACATTTTTTTAATCGCACTATGATGTTGAGATTTCATTTTAAGCTGCACATTGGAAAGTATTCTACTTCTGGTGTATCACTGCATGTGAAAGTATACTGGTAATGAACAAACTACAGAATCTCGCTGCTTAATTAACCTGCTATGAGAGATGAATTATTCTTCATGCACAAACTGTTCCACTACCAAAATATATAGTAAAGCTTTTATTTTACAATTTTAGGGAGGAACTGGACATTGATCTGAAAGATATTTACTACAAAATTCGATGTGTGTTGATGCCTATGCCATCTCTTGGGTTTAATAGACAGGTAGTGAGAGACAACCCTGATTTTTGGGGCCCTCTGGCAGTTGTTCTTTTCTTCTCAATGATTTCATTATATGGACAGTTCAAGGTAGGTATAAACCTTTTATCTAAAGAGAACTTTAAATTTTGGGACTTGAATGTTAAACCATCTGTCATATTTATAGACAGATCGAAAGCCTCTTCTCTCATGTCTGGAGTACAGTGAGAAGCGTGGAACATTTAGTTCTAAATATATTGATTTAATAGATTAGTCTTTCTGCATATTGAAAAACTTGTAATACTATACTAAATGTTCCTTGAACTACCTCTCTCAAGTTAATGAGAATAAAAATGTCAAGTTTTTGTCTCTGAAGTGCAAACGAAGGAAGGGTGGGATTTCTGGAGGCTTGTAATGGCATGCAATTTATCAGATGCTGTACACTAACTGGAATGACTACAAACATAAAACACCTACATTAGTATACAGTATTTCATCACAGTAATAAAGTAAAAGATGTCACTGTAACAATCCTGGTTCATCTATGTTAAATAAAATGTAAACTGTGACTCTTAAGGGTCCCTCAATTTCAATCAGTGATGAAAGTGAATGTCACTTAAATTTCTATAGTTGGTGCACCATCATAGAATAAAATATCTGCACCATGCTTTTCAGTATGGCCTCATTCCCTTCTCTGATTGTGCAATTTAACTTCTTAATGTTTCAGTTCCTTCTGGTCCTGCCATGAGGCCAGGGAACTGGACTTGATGACCTCTTCAGAGGTCTCTTCCAGTTTTAGTATTCTGTTTTTTTTTTCTTTTTTTTTCTGTCATTTCTATCATTGTCATCTTTCAGCACAGGGAAAAAGATAGTGGGCTTTCATACATGACTCAT